ACAAGCTTTGGCTATGGATTTAGATTATAATAAATTATAATCTATAACTATTTTAGAAAATTGTCTATGTTATAGCTATATAAGATCCGTAGATTTACATTTTGTGATGATTTGTTATACTATAACATAGATTATTATGATATTATCATAATAGATCATCATTATAAGGCTAGTTTCACTTACATGGTCCACTAAATAAGCTAAATGGACTACATAATGATACAAAAATAGATTTTTTAATAAAGAACCATAAGCCATGACTATATTTTTTGAGACCATACTCATTTTTTAACAATAATTTTTCCGAAGTTAAAAAAATGATGATTATTCACTTAAATTGCAAAAAACTAAGGGTACCTAATGGAATTTATTAAGTAAAATGAAAGACTACGCATAGATCAATCCCACTAAAATCACGTGTTATACATAAAATATTTTTCTTGATAAAATTAATGAAATTTAACTTGAAAGTTTGTACTATTCGTTTTAAAAATTTTAATTATTTTTAAATGTCTTACAATGCTTTATAACACACAGTATTTATTGATTTTATGTACAATGAGTTAGCTATTCATATTTTATTAGAATGCTTTAGTAAGCCGCCAACCGGTTATTGACGCCAAGCAGTCTGCTAGTATTTATAATATGTTTTAAGGCATTCATTAATAATTTTTATGTATATAAATAACATTTCAAAGTATAATGATTATAAATTTAATCCACAATTCAGTAATCGAATATTTTAATTGCATTAACACAATTGATATATTCTTTTAGTACTCAATGAAATATCATTTTAAAATGAGTATTAAAATTTTAATGCTTAATACTTTTAAACACCAGTCGGAAATTTGTTATTCATTTTACAGTATCTAGTTGTTTAGATACTGTCAACTAGGAATATTTAGTATTGTGTTAATGTCAATTAAAGAAAGTGAATTGGTGATTTCTATTAAATAGCTTTTGAAAAACGAGAAACGAATATATTCCCCTTCATTTGGCTATTAAATAAAAATAATAACATTTTTATTAATTCAAATCCTGGTTTTGTAATAGCTTGTATTAAATTCTAGGATGTTTATATAAATATTTATTTACAAAGCATAATTGCTTTATTTAACATAACATAAAAATCAACATTTTGATATATTTAATATTTTATAACAAAAAATGCCTGATGTATTGGTTCCAAAATTTATGACAGTTTAAATTCAACGATATAAAAATTTGTAGTATTTATAATATACACATATATATATATACATTATATACACAGGAAGATTATTAATTATTATGAACTTACGAACAGCACAACAATAGATAAATAATAAATACAAAGAACATACAACTACTAAAGAATAGAGTTGTATGATATCTTGAATTAGATTTAAGTAGTGGAGTGGATGAGGAATTTGGAGCATGAGTACAACAAAACGTAAAAATTAACGTTCATAAAAACCTTTTACATATATCCTCGACATGAAGACAAAAAATCAAACAAAGGTCGATAGCAGAAAAAATTATAAAATAAGTTAATGAAATAGGATTAGTAAGTAATGCAGGAAAAAAATATATTTTAATAATTTAAAATAATAAAATGTTAAGTAAAAACTTAATATAAACACCAGAGGTATGATGTTGAGAAGATTATTTTTATGATTAGTCATTCTGAAACGTAATAACTCTCCCTCCAATATATTAAAATAATAATATTTTTCTAAAATAATAGTTCAAAAGTTATTATTAATCAGTCATTTTCTTAGTAAGACCATTTTTATTTAAAAACTAGTTAAATATATATGTTATCTTTAAAGAATTAATATGACACCCTTATAAAGTATAAGGGATTAATTAATAGAGTAACTAATAAGTTTTTATATTTTTCAATATTAAAATTAGTTAAATATGTACGTTTAAATTTAGAAAACTCCAAGAAAATAAGAAAGTAAAGATGAGATAAGATTTTTGTATTTTTGAAGGAACGCATTAGGCATAGTTAATCTTGTTTAATTTAATTTTTCTTTCTTTTTATAAAGATGTTTCCAATATTTTAAATTATAATTCTATTTTTTTTAAATTATATATTACTATAAAAAATATTTGTTTTGATCAATAATCTTTTTCATTATAATATAAATTTATAAGTGTTTTACAGATCCCAATGTAGGTTGTATGTCATTTAACATTTATCAGAAAATAGTGTTTATTCTATTCTTTTATAAACCTAAATTTACGTTCTGAATTATTTCATTCATATATTTACTTCTTCTTGAAATGGTCAGAAAGGTAAACGTTCTAAACACAAGATTATGTTTGCAATAAAGGACAATTTATTGGAAAGTCATAATGGTTTGTCAAACCAGTTTTTACATCGACTCTTCCAGAAAAGTTATTTTTTTAATTAGGACGGCCAAGCCATAAGCTTCTGTATTACAGAATTATATGCCCTAATTAAAACAATGAACAGACAAAGCCATCGAATAGTTCCATTTACGATTATAACGATACTACTGAGGTCAGTCTTTTCTGAGCGAACTTCCGGTTATCAAACATACATTGCTTTTAAACTATTTTTACATATAACATAAAATAAATATGATAAAAATAAAAATAATTACAATAGCCAAAAATTTTAAAATTTCTGTAATTAATTCACCCAGTTAAATTATTTTTATTTTAATATAAACAAAGTACTACTTTTATTATTATAATAAATCAAAATGTTTGTAATACTGTCCTTTTGAGAAGTTTATGGATAACAGTAATGTTGAATTGAATTATTAAAACAAATATTGACCTTTAGTAAGGGTTTCAGAATAATATTTTCTATCTATGTTGTTAAAATATAATGAATACAATTTTCTCATTGTTATTTTTATACTAAGGATAATTACTTGATGAACATACTTATTGTACTTTATATATTTATACTTTATGCAATTAAAAAAAATCCAGCACAGTGGGGTGGCGGTACAGTGGGGTCGTGGCATAGTTGGGTCCAGTATAGATGATATCTGACAGTGATTAAAATCACTATCATAAAAAACGCTTCGATGCAAATCTGTAGATAGTGTTTAATTTATAAAAAAAAAATTTGTTAAAATAGCATATTTTTGAATACGGTAGCCTTTTGTGCATAGAAGATAGGTCGTCGGGACAAATTTTTTTTTTT